AGCCACCATCCAACCCAAAGCAGCTCTTGGGGTTAGGGCTGCTAGGGAGAGAAAATGAACCCAGCACTGGGGCCAGGTACCCTCCATACATGGGCTCTTTCATCCCAGCGGTTGTCAGAGGGAGATAATGGTCTCCACTGCAAGGGGAGGAAACAGGCACAGACAGGTTTAGGTGACTTGAGTAAGGACACCTAGCCAGCTCTGTCTCAGCCAACTAGGTGGTAGATTGGAACGCTAGAGTCATCCACTAGTGAGATCTCAGGCCAGCTATGTGACCTTGGAGAAGTTGCCTAACCTTCCTAAACCCGTCTCCTTATCTGTAAAACCAGGGAAAACAGCACTTGCCTCCCAGGGTTGTTGTAATGGATAGAAAAGCACTAGTCATAAGCCTGAAGCAGAGAAACTGCTCAATAAATAGTAATTATAGCATTATTCTTAGAGGCTCCCAAATCCTTCTTTCCATGACAGCCTGCCGCTTCTCAGAGAAAAATTACTTAAATTTGTATGACACGACTTAAAAGTTCTTTCACGTGTATTAGCCCATTTAACTTTGGCAGTGGCCCAATGAAGTTAAAACTTTTGTCTACCGCCCCACTTTGTTTTTGCTGTTTTGATGAAGACCCGGGTCCAGAGAGGTCAAGTCACCTGCTCAGGTCCCATGGGGGTGAGTGATAAATGTCCCAACTCCCTGTCCAGAACCTTCTTCACCACAAGGCAGCAGCCACAGAGGCTGTGACTGACCCTGGCCCCAGGCAGAGGTTACACCCTGGGTTCTCTGGGAAAGAGAGAGGCGGAGAAGCCTGAGGTGGGAGGGGGTGCGGAGAGGAGGGTGGAGCTATGTCCTTGATGTGGTGGCTGGGCCCAGTTGGGGTTGTCGCCACAGTCCTAGGGTTTGGCTGGGACAGCAACCGCCATTTCCGCTGGTGTAGCAATGCAGGGTGGATCTGGGAACCCAAGCTGGGCGGAGCTGAAAGGAGGGGGATGCTCTGCATAGCTTGGCCTGGGGCTCTTCATCATTGGGGTGGGAGTCTGCTCCTGCTCTGAGTCACTTGCATCAGCAGGCCCAGCTCCTAGACCCCAGCCCCTCCACAGGAGCAGGCACCTTCCTCCTGGTGGAGAGGGCTTAACTACAAGTCTCTTCTGAAAGATGGTAAGGGGCCAGGAGCAGGTGACGACACTTAGTGAGTTGGGATTGGGAGGCACCTCTTTAGGGCGGTTAGAGATACTGTCACGTGATAGGAATTGGCTGTGACCCGAAGACTGGGGAACAGGAGCCTTTGGGAGTGAGGCAAGGTCAGGTTCCTCATTAACACACAAGTAACCTGTTCTGTGGAGGCATGGACTTGGACTTGGGAGGAGAGAGGCTCTGCCCACAGCTCTGGGGCACCTGCCTGCAGTATGACCACAGGGAAGCGGGGCAGGACCAACAACATAATTTGCAGGGTCCAGTGCAAAATGAAAACCCGGCCTCTTGTTCAAAAACTATTAAGTTTCAATAGGGTGATGGCAGAGCATTAAGTCAAAATGGGTACCCTTGTAAGCACAGGTCACACGCCCATGAAGCCATCCTGAAGTGGGGTCTAGGGAAAGTGAGCAAAGGTATGAGGCCACATGAAGGGCAGTCACAGGGGTCTTCTTCTTCCATGCTCGTGGCCTCCTTACCAAAGCAAAGAGAACCTGTAAACACGTAAGTGAATAATTCTGGACACCCAACATTTCCTAAATGGACAGCACGCTCCACTGAGGTGTTTATAGCTTTCCCAAGTAACCAATCTACCTCGGCCAATCAGCGTCCTCAGAGAGTCCAGGTCTTGCCTTATTTGGAGGAGGGATAGCATTTAAATTTCACCTCTGTCTTGGGGGAGCTTGAAATGCTGGGAAATACTTGGAGACCATCTGGGAAAAAGGCCTCTGGAGCTGTTTCTTTAATTTACAGAACTGACAAGCAAGGATAGGGGCTTTTGGCAAGGACAAAGTGTGATGGCCCAGAAAAGAATCAAAGTATTAATAACGGGCTTGGCTGGCATGGTCCTCCAGTCCCCCACCCTGGGGTTTGTGTGGCTGGGAAGCCTGATGTCTCCCTTCCACCAAAGGGATCAAAACCAGCTTTCAGAGCAACATAAGCCGGGGGTAATTTTTAGCACAGACGTAACTTTCTAGTTCCTTTTTCCTACCCCTCATTTTTCAGTCGCCTTTAAAGAGGCCGCAGAGATCTAAAAAACAAATCCAAGTTTAAAGAGACAAGTGCAAAAATGCAAACTGGGCAAGGGGACAGAGCCGCCAGCTGGACAAAATGTGCCTGGAAAACAGCATCCTCTGCTTGACAGGTGTCGGGGATTTATGGTTAAAGTTTTGCAGACGTTTCAACACGTTATGAGCCAGCTCAGGAGACCCTCATAAAACTCTTATATGAAAGAACAAACTAGCTGATAAAAGTCAGCTGCTGCTTATAAACGCGCTGTGGGGATTGCAATTGAATAGTGGATTTATTAGTCTGGGCTCTCTGTGCGAATTAAGAACTACCGCGCACGTCTGAATCAGGAAGACAAGAGCCTGAGCGCAGAGGGTTGCTCCCTGCTCATGTGATGGCCGAGGGACCATGCTGACCCCCTCCCCCAGCACTGACTCCCTTAGCGACCAGACGGAAGATGCTTCACTGGAATCAAGCTGCTGGGGCTCTGCTCTTACAGTCCCCGTTCTCCCCTCTGACAAAAAGAACCAGCCACTCTCCATCCACAGCGTTTCCCGCTCCTGTTATAAGAGCACTTCTCACGATAGGCTTAGGAATCTGCCCAGCCTACTAAACCGTGGGCTTCTCTTATCTATCTTTGTATCACTGGTAATCGGTTGTGTGCTGGGCACACAGGGAGGCCTCTGAATGAGTAAATATGGATATGGCAGGCTAGAAGGCAACATGCCACGGAAGTTATTACTACCCCACTGCAGACAGCATGGAGGGGAGAGGGGGACAGAGCTGAGGTGCCTGTGGGAGTTGAAGATGAGCTAGATGTTGGGAAGCAAGATAAAGGGGAGAAGGGGTACAATAAGGACGTTAAGGCTAGTTTCTTCCCCAAAGGACAATCTTTGTGGACACTCTACCCAGCTCCGTGCTGCTTTTTTCTCAGGATTAAGGTTATTTCTTTTTTTTTTTTTAAAGGTTTTTTTTTTTTTTATTGGGGAATTGGGGGCATGGGAACAGTGCTGGGGGATTGGGGAAGGGGAACAGACAAGTTGCTGTCGTTTTGTTCTTCAATCTAGTTGTGGAAGGTTATTTCTTAAAGAATGACCCTACAACAGAATGAGGGGTACTTGATAAGAAGGCAGATACCTAGACCCTCCCACACGTATTGGATCAGAACCTCTGGGACTGGGGCCCTAATATGCTGTACCAGGTACTAGTCTTGGAAAAAAAATGACTTTCCTTTGCACTATGTAGAAACCAAGGAGCCTTCCAGGAATGATGGAGAGGAGGGAGTGTGCCTGGAAGGGGCCACCTCCCCACCCCCACCCATCATTCCTTAAGAACTGGCTTTCTCCTCCCAGCACCTGGCATACAGGGCAAAAGTGTAAGGCTCTGGCAGACGGCCCCAGGACTCACTCCAGCCCTCCTGGCTATGGGATCAGAAGGGAGATTAACTGGCAAGGTTGCAGCTGCCCTGAGAGAACCTTGGCTGCCTCCAGTGCCACTGCCACGCCAGATGGGGGCTGCACTTACTTCTGCTGTTTGGAGGCATCGTGTTCCAAGCAGGGCTGGGTATTCAGGAATATTCAGCTCTTGTCACAGCTGAGTAGCTGTTAGGGATGCTGTTGCCTTCTGTGGCACAAAGGAAACAGTGGTGTGAGGGAAAGACCCCTTTCACCAGAACCAAGAAAGCCCTGGTGCAAATTCTGGCACTGTCGCTGTCACTGACACGCTGTGGACACTTCGAGAACTCACCATGTCTCTCAAGGCATACTTGTTTCACAGCACAGAGCCACACACTTAGGTGGCTAATAAATCTCAAGTGAATTTCAGCCCCTTAAATGTTTATAAATTTTCCAAAAGCCTTCACATACCTCCTCTCACTGAAAAACTTACAACCCTGTAAGAACATACATCATCCTGTCCGGTCTACAGATGAAGAAACTGAAACTTAGAGGGGAAACAAGTTACCCCAGGTCACTTGGCTGGTAAGAGGCTGTGCTGAGACTTGAACCCAGGTCTGGTCACTTGCAATTCAGCAAGCTTTCCCGAGTTGATTATCAGTGCCCTAGTTCTTTCCCTCATCCCTGAACCTGCGCCTCCATATGTGCACTCTCCCTACCTTCTCACAGGGAGAAGGAATTATAAACAACCCAGCGCTTGAACAAGTTGCAGATGGTGCCTGGCCCCTATCAGCCTGATTAAAGTCAGACATAATAACAATCACCAAAAAGCCCAGACTCTCCTAGGGCAGGGAGAAGTCCTTCTCTTCAGATCCTAGGATCCCACTGGCTTTGAAAAACCCCTCCTCTACCTGACAGAAGAATCTTGTGATGGATTTCTAAATGTGGATGGGGTAGACAGGAAAGAAAGAAACCCCAATTTCTCATTCATCTCAACAGATTGCCTCATTGACAGAGAAGGGGGTTCTGAACACAAGAGTCTATTTCTCCAACTTAGGGGAACAGAAAAGAACTTGCATTTGACATCACGACCCACAAGCCAGCAGCGTGCTTGGAGGAGGGCTAGGTGGACTCCCATCATGATGATTCTCCCTAAATTAGTTTCTAAATTTAAGATGATTCCAGTAAAAATACCAACAATTCTTTTTATTTTTTATTATTTTTTTATTGAGTGGGTAGGGTGGGATTAGCGAATTGAAAACTCCAAGGAAAAAAGCATCATGAGCAGAGGTGGGAGTAGAGAGAGAGTTGCTGACACCTAACAGATAGTAGGACTTTGGAAACAGCCTACATGTCCGTCAGTAAGGGGCTAAATAAATTATGGTATACCCATACAACAGAAAACTATGCAACTGTTGAGAAAAAATTAAAGCTCTTTATGTATTTACATAGAACGACCTCCAAGATACAGCAAGTAGAAAAAACAAGGTACAAAACTGGGTATATAGTATGCTACTATTCATACAAAATTATGGAGAACACATAAAAACATATTTACTTGTTGTATTATTGATTGCTGTGGAACAAATTACCCCAAAACTTACTGACTTTAAACATTTATTATCTGCTTCCACGGATCAGGAATCCGGGCACAGCTTAGCTGGTTGCCTTTGGCTTAGGTCTTCATGAGGTTGTAGTCAAGCTGTTAGCTGGGGCTGTGGTATCACCTGAAGGTTCAACCAGGGAAGAGAGGCTCTGCCTCCAAGCTCACTCAGGTGGCTGTCGGCAGGCATTGGTCTCTCACATGAGCTCTCCACAGGGCTGCCCCCCAGCATCGCCGGTGACATCCCCCAGGGTGAGTGGTCCAAGAGAGTGGGCAACTGCACCCAAGAGAGAAGCTGCAGTCTTTTTTCATAACCTAGTTTCAGAAGTGACATCCCGTCACTTGTGCAGTATTCTTTTCCCCAGAAGGAAATCTGTAAGTCCAGCCCACACTGAAAGGGAGCAGATGTACAAGGGTGTGAATACTCCTAGAGGTAGGATCACTGGGGGCTATCTTAGAGGATACCCAGCACTGCACTTATATAGGCAAAGAAAAGTTTTGGAAGACTGCACCAGAAACATTTAACATTGGTTGCCTCCAGGAAATGGAAATGAGTAACTTGGGGAGAGGTTTTCACTGAATATGCTCCTGTAGCCTTTGAATTTTGTATAAAGCAATAAGCACAATGCCCAGCACAAACTTTTGATACGTGTTGCCTCCCATTCTTTCGCAAACGCTGCATGCCTCTCCTAGCAACCAAGTCAAATTAGCCTCAGGCCTAACTCAGGTGTCACTGCCACTATGAAGTATTCTCATAAGCAGGTAGTTATCACCTCTGTTCTCCCACAGCATTCTGTTTTAACCTCAAACACAACACTTTAATTATTGTATTACAACTTAAATCTCTTCAACTCAGTCTGGTCCTTGCATCATTAGCATCAACATTACCTGGAAACTCATTAGAAATGCAGAATCTAGGGCCCCGCTCCAGACCTACGGAATCAGAATCTAAATTTTAACAAGATACCAGTGATTTATATGCACATTAGAGCTTGAGAAACACTGGTTTAAATCTTTCCCTGGTTGAACTATAAACCTTTGTAGAGCTCTCTTTCATCTCTGTCCTCAGAACACATCATAAGACCAGACACCCAAATGTCTTTTGAGTTGTTTTATTTACAATTATTATGCATGTGATAGACTAGATTTTTTAAAAATTCCTGGAAGTATATCATATTGCTAAAAACAGTTATCTGGTAGGTAGACAACGTGCACTTTCACTTTCTGTAATACTTCAATTTTTTACCATCAGAATGTATTATCTTTATAAGTAGGCAAACATGAAGATCTGGAAAAACATAGGTAAAATGTAAGATATAATATTCATAAAATGGTATATAATAGTGTACATGATGGTACATAACTGTGTTGCTCTATATTTACAGATATGAAAAGATGGCCAAATTATATATTTTTTAAAAAGACATTCAAATAACACTATGTATAAATGATATATTTGTTTTTCTTTTTTAATTTGTGAATATGGACACTGAAAGGATACAGATCAAAATCTCTCTGATGGAGCTTGTTTTATACTTTCGTACATTACTTTTTTTTTAATTTTCCTATGATTTTTTTAAAAAGCATATATCACTTTTGTAATAAGAATAAAAGGGTCATTTTTATTTTGAAAAATATCTATACTCTTTCTTAAGCCCCTTTATACCCAACGATCCAGATTTTTACAACAGCCTAGGAAGTTGATGGGTCTAAGTACCACCACCGTTTCACAGATGAGGACACTGGGCCTCAGAAACAACCCTGATCACCTGACTCGGGGGTAGTGTTCTCCCACCCACGCAGCTACTCCAACATCAGAGGAATGTGGCAAAATCAGTTGCCAGCTTTGGTTTAAAAAAAAGCCTGTCACTTTAGGAGTCCCACTATCCCGTTACTCTCAGATCATAAGAGCAATGGGAGAGCGCCTTCCCAGACCAAGCGTTCAGAATCATTCACGCTGCACCACCTCCCCCTGGTGGGAGGCTCTGGGAACTAAAATGGGCTTGCTGATAAGGAGCTACTGCAATTGGAAAACAATGACTGTTTTCCATCAATATCACTCTTATTTCTTTAAATCACCAAATTCACTTTCTCTTTCTTCAAGGAGTTGAGACTGACACAAAACCAGGGCCTGGTATCAACCAGGCTCAGAGCTCTGGACGACGCCCAGGCCAGTGTCACTAATCTCTACCCCTGTCCTTTCCTTCCCGCCCACTTCTGTGGCTGCTGTTTCTGTGCCCTGTGCTCCTCTGCTCTTCTCCATTCTCTCTGCCTCCATCCACTCCCCTGAGCCTTAGGAAAGGGCGATGGGTGGCCCATGTACCCTCAGCCAGGACCTGGCAGGGAGAAGCCCCAGCATCAGAAACGTCTAGCACAATCCTCCCAAAAGCCAGCCCTTGGGCTCTAGACACTGATTTTTCAAATATGTCAGGTTGCAATACTGAAAGTTCTTTAGAAATACCAGGATGCAGCACCATCAGTCTTCGACTGTGTCCCCTGGCCTCCAAATAAATACACGGCTTCCTCACTCTTCCAGGAAGAAGGAAACATTCAACAGGATATCTGGAATAGGGAGAGAGAAAGACTGTGACATACCACCTCTCCAGAGAACACAAAACATCAGACTGGTAAAGATACAGAGGCACTGTGAGGGCATCTCTATAATGCTGCCAAAGAAGTGAGACACACAAAGGGCAAGAAAGGAGGGGAGGAGACATGAAGGAAGAAGTGAAAGCCAGCACCTTGTACAAGGTCTTGGTGTTCATCTTCCGAAATTCGGTCCCAGGCCTTGGGCAAAGCTTGGATGTTTGGCAAGTCTCCCCAATGGACTGAGGACAGGAGGTACTTTCTCTTCAGGTACCTTGCTGGAAGTTAAGGACTGCTCAACAAGAAAATGAAATACGCTCAAGGAAAACAATGCCCCGAAGAGAGCTACAGGGGCATAAAAGTGAAAGTGCAGCTATCCTGACATTTTCCAGGTGGCAGGACTCGCCCAGGCTGCACGTCTTCACTGAGCGCCTCTTCACTCCCATGGCTCTGTGCTACAGGGACAGAGGAACGGAAGATTGCTCCTGCAATCTAGGATCTCACCACAGAGAGGAAGAAAAACAAACGGACAAGGAAGGCTCTAAGCGAGACAAAACTCGGTGCGAGTTCAGAGGATGAATTCGTCCAGTGTAGAGGGCAGCAGGAAGATTCCGGCTGCAAGAAAATGCATAAGCAAAGGCACAGAAGCGGGGACGCCCGGAATAGATTCAGGCACAAGTCAACCTCCCAGACTGGCTGGCGCGGAACAGTGTATAGAGTAGGAGGAAAGGTGGCTGAGAAGGCAGGCCGCGCCAGAAAACAAAGAGCACTGCAGCCCAACTTAGGGCGTCTGCGCCCTGCCCTCCTCCCAACAGAAGCTACCAAAACTCCTATCCAAGCAACAGATCAGCACTCGACCTCCTGAAGGTATGTGGAGTGAGGTCACTCACTGGGCATGGCTCAGGGGGCAAGAAGCTGGAGACAGAGACCTGTCAAGAGGCTGCCTGTGACTCAAGTCCAAGTGAGAGGCAAGAAACCATGGAAGAGGCAGTGGGGACACAGAATCAAAGGATTTGACAGGCGACTGTAAACGCTCAGAGCAGTACCTGGCACAAAGTAAGTGCTCAATAATGTTAGCTGCATTTACGGTTCCTACTGCTCATGCTGCTGCTACTCTGCAAGTAAAAAAGAAATGACAGGGAAAGGGGAGGATGTTGCTTAAGTTTCCAGACTGGGTGACTGGACAGGGCTGATTCTACAATAATGGAAAGGGGAGTTGAGTGTGAGGGCTAGATAGAGGAGTTTGACTCTAACTTGAGTTTGCGGTTCCATGAGCAATCCAGTTAGAGGTAGCTCCAGGAAACTGAATATCAAGATTAGAGACAAGAATAAAGACTGGATATGAAGTTATGAAAATGAATGTAGAAACTTAAGCCAGCGGGCTAATGTGCGCTATCAGGAAAGACTTGAGAAAAAACCCAGAACTCCCGACTAGCTGGTGTTTCTGCTTCTACCCCATCCACATGGCCCCCAAGTCTTTCCTCAGAACACAGCCAGAGTGATTCTGTTAAAAACACACTTATAGGTTCGATCATGTTAGAACTTTCTAATAGCTTTCTGTCTCACTCACAGTAAAAGCCAAATCCCTCAAAGACCGTCAGGGCGCTACATGATCTCTCCCCATCTCTCTGACCGCATCTCCTGTTTGGCTCCCCATCTTTGCTCTACTCTAGCCACCCTGGCCTCCTTGCTATTTCCTGAACATATCAGGCGCACTCTCATCTCAGGGCCTTTGCACTTGACGTTTCTTCTGCCTGGAAGAAACTTCCCCCAAATAGTACATGGTTCTTTCCCTCACTCTCATCAGGTTTTGTCTCAAATGTCACTTTCTCTCTGAGGCCTGTTCTGCTCACCCTATTTAAAATTACAACCCCGGGCCGGCCAAGTGGCGCGATGGTTAAGAGCTGGCTTGGGACGCCAGAGGGCCCCGGTTCGGATCCGACATATGAGGGCTAGTGACACTGCCTTCTACAGCTAAGATGCTGAACAACAGCTCAACCTGGAGCTGGGCTGCCCTGAGTCGCCGGCGATGGCGTAGGCTGCAGCCCCTGTGGCAGTGGGTTGCCATGGGCTACCGTATGTAGCCGGCAGCCGCAGTGAGCGG